TGCATACATAAAATCTTCGTTTCCTATTCTAGTGGGAGGCGGGGTGTCACTTGTGTAGATGATATATAGGGTGGGAGAGAGGACGCTACCCTGAGGGACTCCGCTCATGTGTGGGAAGGTGTCTGGAGACAGGGATGAGGAAGGTGGGTAGGGGCAGGGAGCAGGAAGGAGGGTGAGTCAGAGCGGAGGAGGAGGAGGAAAGGGAACGAGGAAGAGGGTGTGGAGGTACTAGAGGAGGAAGGAGGGTGGAGGCAGGGAGGAGAAGGAAGCGGAGGAGGAGACAGGTGGGGTGACCTTTGTAAAACATTGTAAGATAGGACAAGGGGTGAGGACTGAATGAGATAATTACCCAGGTGAGGTATAGTAAATTAGGTTCGCTGACAGGTGCAGGTGTAGTGTATTGCAGGTAAAGGTTGATATACTTATAGGTATTATGTGTGTGTCTGTTTGCCTTTTTCTGTCTCTATTTCTTTTATTTTTTCTATTTATTAATTTAATATGTATTAGTTAGTTAGTCTATTTGTTTATCGGTATATCCATCTATGTGGCAACACTGAACCAACAGCAGTATGTGGCACCACTGTAATCAGCTTGAAAAAATAGAACACTTGAACACAATTAAATTCCTTCCTTATTTATATCCTCTCGTTAAACTGGAATTTCTTGCTAATTACGTAAATTCATTAATATTAAGAAATGGACCGGAAACACTAAAAGAAAATATATAAAATGGCGACCATGAAACATCCACACTATCAAAATTAAATAATTATATATATATATTGTTTTTTTGAGCAGATAAGACCATTATTATCGGTATAGTGTATTTACCGAGGCAAAAACCAATTTACTATTGCATAATATTAATAGTAATACCACTACTACTACTACTACTGCTCCTAATAATAATAATAATAATAATAATAATAATAATAATAATAATAATAATAATAATAATAATAATAATAATAATAATAATAATAATAATAATAATAATTCAAATACCAATAAAACATTAAAACCAAAGAAAATAAAACCAACAAAATCTAAAAAATAAAAAATAAACAAATAAATAAACAAATAAATCCCCCCCCAAAAAAATATTAAATAAATCCCATACAGAGGCGACTTAAGTACCATAAAACTAAACAATGAACCACAATAAGAAAAAGACTGGAGGCGAGAGATCAAAAGGTCATTAACTACTCTCAAGGTCCCTGGGGTCTCTTAAGGTTCTTGGCACTATTAAAGGCACTGGGTTCGGTGGGTCATTTGAGGCACTGGTAATTGAGAGAAAGAGAGAGAATTTTAATGGCATTTGGGAAGGTGAGGCATCGGGAACTCTCTCTCTCTCTCTCACACACACACATCCCTACCCAGTCTCCACACAGTTAATGACCCCAAAGCCAACAAGCACATCCCTAATTAAGTATCAGTGGCACTATCGACCAGGGCACTGTGACGCTAGAGGTGGCACCGCCCTGGCACCGGCTGTCGAGTTATAGATGGTATATTAAGAGCCAGGAGGTGTTGTCATCCATCATTACGCCATTGTTTACGGACAGGGAGGAGTGCCAGAACGCTCCGTCTCGTAGAGGGAACCTTTGTCGTGTGTGAGGGGGGTGAGGGGGGTGAGGGGGTGTGAGGGGTGTGAGGTGACAGGGGTGTGATGATGGGTGTGAGGGTGTGAGGTGGTGTGAGGGTGTGTGTGTGAGGGTGACAGGGGTGTGAAAGGGTGAGGGGGTGGGGGGTGAGGGTGTGTGGTGTGAGGGAATCATCTGGGTGAATAGAATAGCGCTTACCTGAGGTCGTGGAGAATATATTAAGGACAGACAGACAGACAGACAGACAGATAGATAGATAGATAGATAGATATATAGATATATAGATAGATAGATAGATAGATAGATAGATAGATAGATAGATAGATAGATAGCATGGTTATGATAGTTAAGAGTCTAAAGGAACTTAGCTGTTTAATGATAGTTCTATATAGAAGTAATAATTAAGCAACATAAACTAACTATATTTTTAAATGACCAACAGTTACATTTAGAAAAGCCATTATAAATACACCTGAGGGATAACATTATGATAACAGAACATAACATAACACCTGCCAGCAATTAGTAGACTAGTGACTGATTAATTCGTATCTCAGGTAATATGTTCAGGTGTAATTATCATCCAGTTGTAAGTGGTTTATGTGTAATGATGGTAATAATATTGTGTAAATGTTTGTTTAATCTGTAGTTATTTGTTGAGGTTAATTGTTATTGTTTTTATTATCATTATTATTATTATTGTTTTTATTATTATTAGAACCGATCTACCACAGCCCCCCCCCTCCATACTTCCATCACCCACCACCTACCACACCCTCCTCCACCTACCACCTACCACACCCTCCTCCACCTACCACACCCCCCTCCACCTACCACACCCCCCTCCACCTCCACCTACCACACCCCCTCCACCTCCACCCACCTACCACCCCCCTCCACCACCACCTACCACACCCTCCACCTCCACCTCCACCTACCACACCCTCCCTCCACCTACCACCTACCACGCCCTCCTCCACCTACCACCCACCACACCCCCTCCACCTCCACCTCCACCTCCACACCACACCTCCACCACCTACCACACCCCTCCACCTCCACCTCCACCTACCACACCCTCCTCCACCTACCACCTACCACACCCCCCTCCACCACCACCTACCACCCCCTCCACACTCCCCTCCACCTACCACACCCCCTCCACCACCACCACCACACCCCCTCCACCTCCACACCTACCACACCCTCCTCCACCTACCACCCACTACACACCCCTCCACCACCACCTACCACACCCTCCACACTCCCTCCCACCTACCACACCCCCTCCACCACCACTCCACACCCCCTCCACCCCCACCCCCACCCTCCACCTACCACCCTCCACCTACCACACCCCCTCCACCTACCACACCCCCCTCCACCTACCACCTACATTAGTTCTTACGCCACCTATACACACACACTCCGCCATCAACGTTCAAACATTGTTTTCATGGTGCCATTTGAATGTAAATATTTGACTAAGGTAAAGAAACAGGAGGAGTCGATACCCGCGTTACCGTCTGAGTTTTACTGCATAATGATTTGCATATCCCTACCATTACCGGGCCTCAGCTCCCCCCAGAACCAAGGAGGAAGGGGAAATAGATTCACTGAGGTTTAATGTTCCCGAGAAAGTCGATATTTTATCTCCCTCTCCTTCACGGGGATGTGAGGTAAGACTGCCTAACTTTTACCTTTTGGTTTGTCTGTCAGCCTGTCTGTCAGTCTGTCTGTCAGTCTGTCCATTAGAGAATTGTCAAGTGGATGAAAACTTCTTAATATCCCAGATTAATTCAATGACCAACAACAACAACAGTATTATATATGTGTGTGTGTGTGTATCCAGGATGTAATAAAAATAAATGATGATGATGATGATGATGATGATGATGATGATGATGATGATGATGATAATAATAAACTCTCCTTGCACTAAATTTACACACAATGTCTCGCTAAATTAATTAACCCCCAAAAAACTCTAACGATAATATTTAAAAAATTTCTCACCTTCTTGTCTCTCTTTCACCTTCATACCTCCATTCCCTTTATTTCTTCCCTGTTTGGTGTATCTTATTCTCACCAACCTTTCCCCTCCTTCCCTCCCACTCTCCCTCCTTCCCTACCCCCCCCCTTCCTTATCCCTCCTTCCCTCCCTCCTCACCCTCCCATTGAGGTCGCTGAATAGGAAAGACCTCCCAGGGCTCCTTACTCATCACCTCACCCGTTTCTATACATTCTGATATTCCACTAAAAATCTTCCCCTCTTAGAATATATTATCCCACCTAGTCTAATATATTCTAAAATCAACCAGATTTTTTTTTTCCTCATGTTATATTTTACTATTAATTTTTGTATTATATTTTTGTTTTTCATTTTTTTATGTTCGTTCTTCAGTTTATTTCAATCGTATTTTCTTCCATTTCTTTTATTTTGTATTGATCCTTTATTTATCTTTCTTTTTTATTCGTTCATTGATTTTTATCTTTCTCTCGCTTATCTATCTTTACGTTTCCTCTGATTCTGTATCTTTAATGTGTGACTATTTTCCGTTTTTTTTTGTATCTATCCTTTCATTTCTCTTTAATTTCCTATTCTCCTTTCTCGTGTTTATTTTATTAATCTGTTAGTTCCTTTTTCCTTTTATTTTGCCTAAGAAAGGAAGAGTTTCAGCCAAGAACACTACATTGTTCACTCTCTTCCCTCAGGGGATTTACATTTCTTATCCATTATTTTTCTAGTTCCTCTTCCGTTTTTTCTCTCCGCTGCTACGTTTCGTCAGTATATTCTTATCTTGTGTCTTTCTCTTTGTTTCATTATTCTGCTCTTTCCTCCATTCTCTTTTCATCTATCTTATATCTTCTGTTTATTTTATTTCCTTCATTATTGTTTTATTCCATTGTTTCTTCTCTCGTATTTCGTCTTTGTCTCTCCCTTCCATTTTGTTCTTCCATTTCATTCTTTCTTCTTTTCTGTATCTTGTTCTCGCCTTCCTTCTTATTTCTTTAACATTTCTTTTTTCTCCTCTCTTCCTTCTATCCCATTCCATTATTCATTCTCTCTTGTGTTTCATCCTCGATTCCCATCCACCCCTTTCCCATTACTATTGTATTTTATCCACAATTTCTATCCTATTCCACGCCTTCTATCTTCATCCGTTCCTTTCCCGTTACGCCCCCTAAATCCACTGTCTAATCCACATCTTCCATTCCATCCCATGCCCTTCCTCCTCCTCTTCCCCCTCTTCTTCTTCCTCTTCTTCCTCCTCCTCTTCTTCCCCCTTTTCCTCTTCCTATCCCCAGAGTCATATATGAGGTAACAGACACCCCAAGAACTGAGAAAATTTCACCTAAAACAGTATGTCTTATTCGCGTGTTCTTTTTCCTTAGGGAGTGAGGCGTACGACCCCGAGGCGAGCATCACTGGGCTGTACACAGGACCATATTTCGACCCTCTGGCCCCTCGCAACATGACGGCACACCTTGGGGACGAAGCGACACTCCCCTGTACCGTCAGACAGCTGGGCGACAAATCGGTGAGTTGACGTGTTGTTACCAAGAGTTCACTGTTTTGGTGGTAGTGTCCGGCCTTACTTCACCCCCCCACAGCCCAGCCCCCTGCACCTTCACCTTTTTTGTTGGGAAAGGGAGGGCGTGTGTGTGTGTGTGTGTGTGTGTGTGTGTGTGTGTGTGTGTGTGTGTGTGTGTGTTGAAAGGATATACAGGTGACGTAAACTTGAAATCACTGTGTGTGTGTGTGTGTATGTGTGTGTGGTTTTTTTCGCGTGTGTGTGGGTATTTTTATGTATGTGTGTGTGTTTTTATGGGTGTGAGTATGTTTACGTGGACGTGACAATGCAACAATGAAGTATATATACACAGGGATAGAGAGCATAGTGAGAACAGATGGTGCGTCAACTTAAACTAGATAATATCTGTCTTCAAAATCATGCTTCCTCGCTTTATGTGGCCGCGTGTGGGCGTGTATGTGGGGTTGTGGGTATGTGGGCTTGTAGGTGTGTGTGGGTTTGTCGGTGTGAGAGCTTGTGGTTATGTGGCCGCGTATGTGACGTATGTTGGTAGTTGTTAGTGTGTGTGTGTGTGTGTGTGTGTGTGTGTGTGTGTGTGTGTGTGTGTGTGTGTGTGTGTGTGGTGTGTGTGTGTGTGTGTGTGTGTGTGGTGTGTGTGTGTGTGTGTGTGTGTGCGTGTGTGTGCGTGTGTGCGTGTGCGTGTGTGTGTGGTCTGATAAAAAGGTGAGAGGTACTGGAAGGGCCGTGTTTATGTTGGGGGAAGGTGTGTATGGTGAAGTCAGACGGGTATTTGCAAAGGAGTGTTGTTCTATTGTTGTGAAGGTTTGAGGAAAATACTGGAGGATTGACGACCCTGGGCGGGTTTTAAAGGTAGTGTGTGTGTGTCTATGTGTATGTGTGTGTGTTCGTGATCGCGTGTGTGTGTGTGTGTGTGTGTGTGTGTACATCCGTGGGTGTATATATGCATTGCTGTATATGTTCGTGTTTATTTATCATTACACTCGTACCAGACTGGTTTTTTTCTTTCCGTGTGCGTTTAAAACACACACACACACACACACACACACACACACACACACACACACACACACACACACACACACACAATGCCCTTCACTCTGGGTCTGTTTTTCTTCACTTGTTGGTCGTGTGTGGGGTCTCATAGGATCAGCCTTGTTTGTTTTACGATCATACTCTTGTGGGTTATGAGTCTTTTAGAACCCGTTTGGCCCCGTGCGTCATCCTCCGAGTCCCCTGCCCGTTACGGTAGTGGCGGCAGACAGCTTTATGACCGTGTCTGACAGGAAGGTATCTCAATTTTTTGGTCGAGGCATGAAAGTCGTTTATAATTTAGGGGGGATTTGTTAACAGATATATAGAGATTTATACCCACACACACATACACACACACATACACACACACACACACACACACACACACACACACACACACACACACACACACACACACACACACACACACACACACACACACAACACACACACACACACACACACACACACACACACACACACACACACACGCCCACACATAGAATTTCACTCAAACACAGTGATATATGCACAGCAACACATACACACACACATTATACATATATAACTCAACAAAAACGCATACTTTTACACAGACATACACATATACACATGCACACTACATACTACACCCACACACACACACACTACACACACTACACACAATCACACACACTACACACACTGCACACAATCACACACACACACACACTACACACACACACACACTACTGACTATATTACCTTCCCTTGCACTAAGCTTCATGAATAATGCCAGACTGGGTTCACTCGTTCAACATAACAACAATGACCCATTCATCCTCTCCACAACTGACCTTTCATCCCTCTATACACGGGTGACCTTTGACCTATATGGAGAGCAGGTGACTTCCCATAAATAATAAAAAACAGGAATCACGATTGAGTAGATAACCTAACCTAACCTAACTTAACCTTCACGGTGTCTTAAAAAATTCGTGAGGTGTGTGTGTGTGTGTGTGTGTGTGTGTGTGTCACATCGTCTGAGTTTGCGCGTCCCTGATCTATCTTTCGCCAAAATTCTTCAGAGATGTTTAAAGATTTTCTTGATATTTTGGGCACGGACATTGATACCTTCGGGAGCCCATGGGAGTGTAATAATAGGCATGATCCGATTATCTGAACCAAGGGATTGAGAACGTTTGGGGATATATCGTGTGTTCGAGTTCGTGCGCAGTTGTTTGTTGTTATTATCATAATTTTCTTTGACAAGTTTTAGTGAAATAGTCATAATAGCGTTTTATTTATCAATATATATTAAATAAACCTATTCACATTATTAATATTGTTATTTTATTTCTTATTGGTTTATGAAACTGAGCCTAAAATTAGTCTTCCACGAAATATATTAGATATAAGAATATATTTTATACAGCACCATGATATACGGTATATTATATTATATCTATATATAACAACGTACAAGTACAAAAAAATATCATGAAAAGGTACTATAATATTGGCGACTGATGGAAAATGCAAATACTGAACTCATTTTATTAATCATTTGTATATTAAATTGTTCAGTGTTGACATCGCAATTGAAATTCATCATCTGAAAAACATGATACGTTTTTTTTTCACTGTAATATCTGTACCATGAACACTTTACAACAACAAAATTGGTGAAATTCTGTCGTTACACAAACTTCACCAAATATAATTTTTTCTCTAATATTGAACTGATAGTAAAACGAACCTTTAACTTTTGAGTCCATAAAAAAAGTCTCATGATTTATGCCTCTCACAAGTGCCATGAGGTCGGCAAAATGTTGAAATTCATGGGAGTCGTAAAATTTGTGCCGCCAGCAATAAGTCATCGCCTACCTCCTGACGGGGACCCTGACGAAGGGATGAACTCCGTGATTCACACCATTCATGAAAATTCTTCAGGGCGGTGAGTGGTGGAAGACACGACAGTGGTGGTAGATAGTGTGATACCAATCGATACAGTGACCTACATTCACTGAGACTCCTCCAGGTTCTCCTCGGAAAGTATCAACATTTATCACAGGAGCGGTGTATGTGAAAGTATAAAATCTTACTATAAATTAGCAAAGTAGACTACATATGTCGTATACCGAAGTAGACTGTAAATGACGTATAGCAAAGTATATAATCTTCCTTCCCAAAGTATTAAAATAATTCACCTATGACGTACATCAAAGTATAATAATGTCTTAAAAAGTATCAAAGTTTATGTGCTAGTGGTGAAAAAATATAGGAGAGAGAGAGAGAGAGAGAGAGAGAGAGAGAGAGAGAGAGAGAGAGAGAGAGAGAGAGAGAGTACAGATAGTTGCCACAGCATTAAAGAGAAGAGGATACCAAGGGAGCGTAAATAACTAGCGGAAACATTCATTCAAAATACGCACAGCAGAAGACTTCCTCATAAAGCTCAGGTGAGAAGATGTTTTTATAAGAGGCCAGGCCAGGTCAGGTCAGGTCAGGTCAGGTCAGGGAGGGAGTATCATATATAAGGCTCTGGTGTGATTCCTCGTTTGTATGGATCAGAGGGTAAAGGTATATTTATTAGGATTGGATGTGAAGTCTGATCTATAATACTTCTTCTGGTCCGGTTGCTATAATGCTGCCTAGAGGTGTGAAATATGTACCGTTGGTTTTAGGAGTGAAAAATATAGCGTTGTTTTATAGGGATGAAATATATACCGTAGCATATAAGAATGGAAAATATATACTTTATCTCATAAGGTTGTTGAAATAGACAGTTGTTTATAGGAATGAAAGAATATAAGCTACAGTGACCTATAGGGGCGGCAAAGATGTTATAGCAAACACGTATATGCCTATAAAAAAATTGAGTTTGGTTTTAAATTATATCTGGATTACTTTGTTATAGAGACGCATAATTAAAAAAAAAGTAAAAAAAAAATGGTAACGACTTTAGGAAAATCCAGCCAGATTATTCCAGAAATCGGATTTAAAAGGTCAAGGATTTCGAGCAAAATGAATTCGGTTCAGGATTCGAACCTGGACCTGCATTCCCCAAGGGAAAATTATGAGTTTGATAATGTTAGGTTTGGTTAGGTTAGGTCAGGTCAGGTTAGGATAGGTTAGGTTAGGTCAGGTTAGGATAGATTAGGTCAGGTTAGGTTAGGTTTGGTTAGGAAAAATTACAACAGCTGTATTATGAGGTATCAGAGATTCCTTCAACGAGGAAAGAGAAGAAAAATATGTATCCAATCTTCATTGTCACTGTAGGGAGGACGTATTCCTACCCTGACCGTGTCAAGTACTCTATTCCTTCTGGGATTTTCTTTGATCTTAGGACGTAAAGGAACTCTGAGAACCTGGGGATTGAATCAAATTGCCTAAGGTCTCTCTCTCTCTCTCTCTCTCTCTCTCTCGTCCACTGCAGGTCTGTGTTGTTGATTTCGCTTCTTTTATTATTACCTCTATATTATTTAGTTGTGTTTTTTGTTGTCGTCTTTGTTTCCGTGTGTGTGTGTGTGTGTGTGTGTGTGTGTGTGTGTGTGTGTGTGTGTGTGTGTGTGTGTTAGACCAACCTATAAAATCACTCTTTATCAATTCCCAATGTCAGGAACACCGATGAAAACTACACTTTAACCTTTTATAAATTCAACCACGAGACAAGTTTGACCCCCCGCACCACCTTACCAATACCTGGGCCTCGGTATTGACATTTTGGCCAGCGCTCCTGTCTAGTGTAAACGCAAGACTGACATTTCCCAATCCATTACTGTGTGGGGTAAAATGAACCTCGTGGGTGCCTGTCATAAGGGTCATAGT